CTGACATATATTCTGACATTCTATCTAACATTCTATCTGGCAGTCTATCTGGCATTCTATCTGGCATTCTATCTAGCATTCTTTTCGAATATAATATTTCTACATATAATTTATTATTACCCTTATTCTAATATATAAATATAATATATTCTAAAAAATATAAAATATATATATAATTATATAATATAAAAGTATTATTAATCCCAAAACAAATAAAAATAATAACCAAAATTATTAATTTAATTTAATTATATATATAAATTAAAATTATTCCTCCATCGGTTATAAAAAATTTTAATTCCCGGATATATTATAAATAAAATAATTATCGAAAATAGGATCATTCCCTATATTAATTATAAAGATTTTATATAATTTCAGAAAGATCGAAATAATTTATATAACATTTAATAAAGGTTTGTTTAGCCTGAAAGTTAAGATGTTCCTTAGTTTGCAGTTTGGTGGCTCTAAGCCTTCCTCAGGTTTAGGCTAGTGCTTAAGGCCCTTGTGGCCGCACATCATGGTGGGCTTGAGGATGAAAACGAATTCTGTGTTTGTGTATAAATATATATGTTTTTAAATTAATTTTCATTAATATCTAATTATATTTCTTATATTTTTTTTGTATCAGGTTCAAGACATTTCGATCAATCGATCAAATCAATGGTGAGATTGAAAGCCCAAGGCTCAAGTAGGTTTCGAGCGAGGTCCGAAGCGTGTAAGATCTCGTCCGAAGATGAAGGTACCTTGACTTCTGCACCCAAAAACAATTAAATTCTTGATAACTCACTGTTTCCTTTGCATAGAACCATATGAGACCCAATTCAAAGGAGCTAACTACACACACAACCCTAGTGCTGTTAAGAAACGCAGCCAATCCGTCACCAACATGAAGCGATTCCGCATGGAAAGCTGTAGAAACCAATAGGTGAAACGCCAACCGAGGAATGCCACGAAGCCAGTGATACGACTGACACCAGGAAGGTTGGCCATGATGGCTGTGAGTCCGCCCAAGTATGCCATAGTGCCCTGGTGAAGGTCCCAGGATGTGTTTGATTTACCCTCTGGGAATGTAACATGGTGGTGGAAAATGGCCCATTTAAAGATGAATGGTCTATTTATAGATTATTTGCATATTGAGCCTATTGAAGATGGGGATTTTGACATATTTTGACCATAGCTATCTTAAAGTGCCAAAAAGTAAATCGCGAACCTGATGGAACCCATCAGAATCTGTGATGGTCTATGATGGTTTTACAATGTTTTACTGTGTATTCCCGCTTCTCATGCTATTCCGAAAATTTAGCATTCCAGAGCATCCCTATCCACCCAACAAGCACAGACCTTGTTGTGAAACTCGAAGGGCTTGGTCTTGCTCTCGTCCATGCCCAGGGCCTTAGCCAAATACTGACCTTGTTGATTGGCCACTTGGGCGGTCTGTGGCAACCAGTAATCTTCAATGGTTGCGCAATCTCCGATGGCATAGATGTTCTTTTCCCCCTTGACCTTCAAAAAGGGATCCACCAAGATCTGGGAGCCTTTGTCATTCATGGCGAATCCAAAGTCACTGACGAAGGGGTGTGGCTTGATGCCAGCACACCACACCAGTGTGCCATACCTGATGGACATGGCACTCTCCCCGAGTTTCACGTGAACCACATTCGGCTCCACCTTCTGCACAAAGGCACCCAGGTGCACCTGGACATTCTGCTTCTTCCGCAGATGCGTAATGGCATAGTCTTGAAGCTTCTCATCAAAGGTGTTCAGCAGGTCGTAGGTGAACATGTGCACGCGGATATATGGCTTCAGGTTCTTGTACAAGTTGGCCACCTCTTAGCAGCTGGTTCCACCCGAGCACTTCATGCGCAACACCCCCAGTGAAGCAGAAAGAAAATCTACAAAATTCACGAGACGTAAAATCCCACACAAAATCAATAAACCCAATAGAACTTGTGCATTTTGTATGTAATCCGGTAACTCCAATCACACACCATGACCATGCACCATTTACACTAGGCTTTTACCAAAGAATTTGGACAACAGCCATACATTCCCCACCCATCCCATCCTCGTTGTACAGGAAGTCAGTGAGCTCTCCGGCCAACTCCACTCCTGTGGGGCCACCACCCACCACGATGAACGTCAAGAGTTCCTGGATCTTCCATTTTTCCTCGTCGCTCAACGTCAAATCATTGTCCTCAGAAAAATCCATGGAGAGGAAACAAATACAGGAAAACATGTTTGTTTTTCGAAGGTTTACTTTGCCCGTCAATGACTTTCTTACCTTACTCACAATGTTTTTGCTGCACATTTCCCTGGACATATATAATGGATTGACCTCAACTAATTCATCAATCAGTGTTATTGAATCCAGGGTTGAACATGGCTCAAGCAATAATTGGCTTTTTCCAAATTAGGAGAATATATATAACCAATATCGTCATCAAAAAAGGGGGAACAAATTCATCTTCTGAACCGTGAGATTGATTGAACTATACACACTATTTTTTGGACAAACAGCAATTGTCAACAGCTTTCGATGTCACAGGTCGTCCAGAAACCTTGAGGAATCCTGGGGAAATAACTGAAACCTGCAAGCCAGTGACCAATGCATGGCAATACGCAGCTTCTTCCAATTTCTCCAAGACCTCAATGACAACAGCCCAACTTAAGATTTGGGAAGGTGTGAGTTGTCAGGTCAACAACGGAATGCTGGTCCAACCAATCAGAAAAGGATAGAAAAGGTGGATTTTCTTCTTACTTTTTTATAGGAATCGGTATCCGGGGGGTCAACCTTCTGGCAATATCATCCACTCAGATCTGAGGTCCGGACGTGATCCTTAAATCGAGTTGCATCCGCGGTTTCCTTCATGAAGAGCGCGTTTTCCTTGACGCCGGGAATATTGAAATCATTTGGCTGGAAGCCAATTCCAACCACCAATTTGTCATAGGGAAGATTGTACTCCTGGCCACCTAAGGTCTTGCAAGTCACCAGCTGCTTCTCTTTGTCCACGCCGACCACAGAGCTTTCGTAGTACGTGGCATTCTTTTTGGCAGTCAACGGCCGCACTGGCTGACAAATAGATCGTTGATTCACAGTGCCAAGGGCTGAGGACGCCAACATGGGGGTAAAGAGCAGATGATTTCTCGGCGAAATCACAGTCACATCATTCTTCTTGGTATCAATATCCGCCAAGACCCGAAAGCTGGCCCAGCCGGTCCCAACAATGACCACTCTGGGACGAACGGCGCCCGGTGCCCCCGGTGTCGTCATGGGAAGACCGCTGGTCTTCGGGTTGACGCCTGGGCTGCCGCCTGGGGCTGCGGCCGTCGCTGCTGTGGCCGTGGCCGTGGCCGTGGCCGTGGCCTTCGCCGCGTCATCGGCGAAGGCGCGGCCCAAGGGGCACCGGCCCAGGCCGCCCAGGCGCAGGGCGCGCATGGCGCGCAGGCCACGGGGCAACATGGCCGAGGCACCGAGGGATCGAAATGTCACGTCGATGTGCCAAGTGCAACATGGTCTGACTGTGTCTCTGTTTTCTGAATATTCTATATAAATCTATATAACATCTTTCCAATGTTGTATTTGACTGCCCTTGTTGGTTCAAGATCACGACTTCTTTTACAATTGAGTTTCTCAGTTTTCTGTAATCATTCCAACTGCTGACAACTTTACTGCAAAGGCTCAGGCAGCACTCAGGTAATCAAAGCATGGACTTTGTTGGAAGTCCCCAAAAAATCGGTTTGAAGCAAAGACAGTCCGAAGTCATTTGGGGAACTCATCTGAACATTTTACAAACTAAAACCATCTGATAGCATTTAAGAAGAAACAAATAAATCTAGGAAACTTCTAGAATCACCCTGTGCTAGGTTCAGAACTGCCATCATCTACAGGATAATAGCTGCAAGCTGTCTCAGCTGCGCATTTTCTCGCCGGTAGTGCGAGACTTTGCCTCCATTAGGATTGATGTCCACTCTATGAGTCATCTGACATCGGTGGAGCAAGAGTTGAAATTTGGAGCATTTTGCTGAGTGAAACGGGGTCCAGGGTGAATTCCCATCACACACTTCTAGAACCTTAGCCGCTGCAATCCGCTGCAGGTGTTGAGAATCTGCCCTCAAATCTGATCACCGTGGGTCCACATTTCTGGGTGTTCGACTCACTCCGTGGACCATGTGGACCCTTTGGGTCACTGGATTGTTTGGACGGACCTCACTGCATCAGGTTCAAAGATTTCAAGGTCAATCCAGAATCTTCCACAATCTCAGCAAAAGGATCCAATGATCCAACTGTTTCGCAATGGACTTGCTGACAAAAATTCAAAATTCCTGCAAAAAATTGAGGTGATTCGGGGTGTATTTTGAGATGATGCCTGGGTCAAACATGTGCAATTACCACCAACCGCCCACAGGCATACATGTAAACTAGCCAAATCCACTGCCAAACCCATGTTTCTCCAATGGCGCATATATGCCCATATTACATCTAGCTCATGGTGTCCATGGTCCTATGGCTCTGCGCTTGAAAAATACAGAAGTTGCCCATGCTCATCCAGGGCCCCCATGGCACCTGCACAAAGTTGTTCACAGTCACCACTGGACATCTGACCAAAGCAGGAACGCCAGGAACGCCAGGAACGCTACGGGCGCCATAGTCCACCTCACAAAGGTGGAGGGGCCAATTTTTCTTGACCAAAATTGATGGCGTTCTGAAAAGGACCAAATATAGCGGCCGACTTTGTTGTGCAATAGTATCTATAGAGCCTATCTGTGACAAAACTGTTTTTGACCTTAGCTCCCTTTCGTGGAGAATCAACAACCCCCCCGCGGAGAGAAACTGTGGTGAAGGATTCTGCACATGAAAACAGCGCCCTTTTTTTCGGATTCAGCACTTCCGGTGAAGGGGTATCTCTGCCCATCCTCAGGGAGCGCTGATCCGGTGGATCCAGTGGGCTTGGCAACGTGCTACTTGCAGTTGTGGATGTGGTATTCCCAAAGATGGGTGCCAAAACCATCGGTTTCTACGTGTTTCTGCCATGCAGAACACGGATCTTGAAGGAAAATGAAGGCATCAAACACCGATCTAGAATCAAAAATCTCTCAACTGTCAGGGTGAAACATGATGAAACAACTTATAGGTCTTTCATGGTCTTTCAGTCTTTCCCCCTAAGTGTCTGACCGAGCTCAAGGAAGTCCGCAGCAGTTGCAGCTGCTGTTCCCTCTTCCGCAGCTGCTTCTGCACATCTGCGGAAGATATGGAGGATGGCACTGAATTCTCCAGGGCCAGTGGAGCTGAGCTAACTGAGCCAACTGTCTTCGACCTGCATGGGTCACATGGCAAGAGGGAGCATCAACACGATCTATCACGATGTTTTATTGTACCAAACAAATGGTGTGAATATGTTTCAATAACACCTAAACCCCAGTCACAAAACTCTCCTCAAATGAAAATCCACACCGACCTTTGTCGCAAGCGATGTTGTTGCTTCGCTCTCATGTCCCTGATGTCAACCCTTAAGCGCCGCGCAGTTTGAGCTTCAAGCTGCAGCTCTGAAGTTTTGACCCGAAGTTCTTCTGCCAGAGCATTGCTCTCTGTATCTGCCAGTTCTTCATGCAAGGCCCGTCTCTGGAGTAGCAAAACTTTCCGATCTTTGGCTTCAACTTCCCGTTTGGATTCCTTCAACTCAGCCACTGAAGTTAGCTGTTTCTTCAAGGACTCCCGAAGCCCAGCGTTCCTCCTGCGACTCGAACGCACCTCTCGAGCAGCTTCAGCCTCAGCAATCTTGGCGGCAGAGCGGTTGTTGTAGGCAGAGGTCAAAGCTTTGCGCAACTCAAAGGATTCGTTCAACCTGGCACCAAGTCCAATTTCGAAGGTTCTAGGCTCAACTTGATTTCAAAGGAACAGCTTGGGCCCAAATAAACCAACCATTCTTGGCCACAAAACTACCCCAAAGGGTTAAAGCCATGGCATTTGCAGCTCTTGGGTTGATATGACCAACTGCGGCTGGTGAATACATGACGTGTATTATAAATCTTTGTTAAGGGTGGATCATTTTCCAATTTCAGCCAAGCAACGCTTCAGCCACTTCCCTTTGTTTGGGTGCAAGTGCCTTTTCGGCGCGGGCCAACTGCAACCTGATCGCGGTTTCTTCTTCTTGAAGCTCCGGGTTTCCCTTTGGGGTCTCCAAGGGTCGCAGCATCTTCAAATCATCGGCAGCAGCTTCGGTCTCAAGAATTTTCTCCTGCAGTTCATGTGACATCACCCAAGCGCTATCAGTGAGCTCCTCTCGCACGCGCGCATAGTGCTGAATTCGATCTTCCCAAAAGACACACTCCTGGTGAGATTTTCTTCGATTGCTCAAAGCAGTCTGTTCAGATGCTTCAAGGCGATTACGAAGAGTCTCCAGTTTCCCAACTTCCAAACGCATCCGACGCAAGGCTTCTGCTTCCTCACTCTCCACTTGCATCTCAGACTGCATTTTACTCTCCTCATCATCCAGTGCCATGCAAGACTCTGCCAGAACCACTTCTTCCTGCTCCAATGCCGCCATGGTCTCTTCCAAGGAACGTTTCTGACGCAGCTCAAGAGACTTTCGAAGCTCAGTGACTTCATTGGCATGGCATTTGCCCGAAAACCTATCCCTTATTCGGGACGGTGCAAGACGTTCCATCAACGATTCAACTTCCTTTTCCTGATGGATAGCCAAATCTTGCATCTCCATTCTACACCTCTCCTTGGTGCTGGTGAATCGTGTCTTCACCCACAAAGACATAACCGTTGGGGATCAATAAATGGCCGAGCTAGTACTGAAGAGATATATAATGATATGATATATACTTCAAACCTTTAATTATTATCCAAATATATTCAAATATCCTATTCAAATATATTCAAATAATATATATGGCAAACACATGCAAGTTCTGCCCCATTCACCAAGTACAAATCTATGATTTCAATTTGGTTGAATCTGCTGAAACCACAAACGAGAACGAGTTTCGTATTCCACTGATAGATCCTTTCTCTGCTCTCCTTCCATCTGTCGCTGCCACGAAACAATCAGAGCTATCAGCTCAGCTACACATAGCTTTAAGGCATCTTCCAGCCCATCCATCCTGTCCTCAACCTCCGCAGCCGTGGGATCTGTGGGACTGGATGATCCACCTTTGATCTGTTCCATCTCTGCACTGAGCTGTTCATTGTGCCATTTCAGTTGCCTGGATGAAAGTCGAGTCTGGATCAACGAGACCAACAGCTGGAGATTCTCATGCTGAATTGGTAACATCCCATCCCGCAGAGATTGGGGGAGCAGATTCTCCACATCAAGGCTGGAGGGCCCAGTAAACTGCACAGGATCCATGACAACGTCTGAAGCTTTTGAACATCAAAGGTCTGCACAATGGCCGTGGCCAAACCGAATCTGAGTCTCATGCATAACATGTGGTGCCAGGAGGGAACAATGGCTTGTCACTATTGGAAGGAATGTCTTCGGGATACTTAGGCGAGTAGGTTGCAGTGGTTGCAGTGGTTGCTGTGGTTGCTGAAGTATTGAGACACGACAACTTAAAAACCTCTTAGACATCACTGAGTTGCGCACTTGCCCCCAAACAGGAGGCGGAGTGGCGGCAGAGTTTCCAAACTGATGCCTTAGCATCCACTTCTATTGTCCGGCGCGTCTAACTTCCCCATCTTCATTCTGTCTCCTGGTAGGAAAAGCGCCCTTGGGTGGTCCTCGTTTTTGGGGCAAAATCCAAAGGCTCCGGCCATGCATTGACTGGAGTCACAGGTTCTGAACCTTCAAGCCATGAACCGGTCATCTGCTTTCAAGATCCTATATGTGCGAGGCTATGTCAGGGAGAAGCATCCTCCCAATCTCAGAAGAAACTTTCCCGGCCCAGCCCTGCAAAAAATCCAAGCCATGGTGTGATGAGACGTGGCCTTGCTCAATAAAGGGCATCTGAGCGAAACTCACCTGACATCGGGGAAACCCTTCTTGAATCAAGGTTTAGAGGAAGGCTGACAACTTACAAAAAATCTAAAATATATCTAGATTTGGATATTTGTTGCAAAAGATTCAAGTGCTTCAACAAAACACATCAAATACAACATCCGTGACAATTTGATACAATTTGGCCTCCGGTTCTATCAAAATCAGAGAGATCATGAGTGTGTGGTGAACGGCTTGTAGGATTTGGAGGGGCTTTGTTGCAACGGATACAATTAATGCTTCAACACAACCATCATAAATGCTCATCCGTGATGACCTCCAATTTCTACTAATAGTCATCCAAAATCATAGATTCTCAGTAATCAATATGCTGTAGATATATTAACCAATATATGATAACCTTTCATGTCCCATGCTCTTCCGAGTTTGGCGCCTTCGAATCCCTGGCGCGACGGATGGATGGCGACCTGGCTGAATCTGTTTGGAAACTGGCTGGGGTGGGGGATGCCCGCCCGATGGCATCTGAAAGCATTTAGTATTCTATCATAGTCTGATGTAGTCTGGTCTGACTTCCTCGATTCATAGCCGCACTTCCAAGTGCGAGATCACCCTAGATGCAATCCTGGTTGAAAAAGGGCATATTTTACAGGAAGAAACACCACAGAAATCAGGACATTGCTGCCGGGAGTGGATGATCCAGCCAATACATCTCTGTTGAGGACTGTGGCAAGTTCACACATGTCCGATCATCCAGTCCACAATGACCTTTCAACATAATCAGAAGCTATTTATGTGATTTGCATCCACATGCATCCACTAAGTATCCACGCGTTCGTTAAAACCTGACTAAACACTAAGAATCACCAGTGGATCAAAATCCATAGCACAAAGTAATTCCACGCTAACAACGACGCCTAAATCCCACCGAACCATGCATTGCCAACATCCCTAGAGCAGCTCCACACCTGGAAGGTGAAGGGTGTGGTTCCTGTTCGGGCTGGAAAATGGGAGGCCCAGCCAATCGTTCGAGTTTCGCGACGTGCAAGATTTGTTTACATCCGAAATCCTGCTGGAAACCAGCACAAAAATTGCCAAGTTCACTGGCCATCTCAGGAACCTAAATTGGAGGTACCTACCATATAACGCCTATCTATGTAAGGGAATATCCCCACAAAATAAAGCCTTATATGGTACTAACGTACCTCCATTTTAGGATCCTGAAATTCCCATTGAAAGTTGGCCCCAAAATGTTCGTTCCGCCTCAGAAATCCGTGACCTGGGAGAGGAACCATCCACCTGGCGGGAGATCCCACGGCATAACCCAAATGGGGCCGTCTCACAATTTGTTATATCTAATGGGAAAATCCCCTGTAACGGTGTATAATATGTACCCAATTATTGGGAAAATCACAAAGTATTGCTATCAGAATTGTGGGGTTCTAGATCTAATTGCATCCCAGTATATCCCCATATGTGTTCATTGTTGATTTGATACCATATCACCATTACAGTATTGGGCATCTATCCGCCATTTTGAACGAAACCCAGGTAATTACTGGTCACATATCTCATCATATCCCATTGTATCCCTATTGTTATAAGATCCGAAGTCTCTAGGATGAATGTTTTTCAAAATAACTATTTTTGTGGTTTTGATACGTTTCAGATATGATTTGCTGTTTTGAATTGTTTCTTTGCAGCTATGATGTTGATACGGTTTTAGATATGATTTTGATATGGTTTCAGTTATGATTCTTGATGTGGGTCAAAATTGTGATTTGAAGCCAACCCATCGGAACCATATCCAAAATCATATCAAAACCAAATCAAAATCGTATCAAAATCGTATCAAAAGCGTATCAAAAACCACAAAAACCACAAAAACCCTCCAGAAATCGACCAAAAGACTGTCCCGGGGCTGTTTCTGTGTCCTTTCTTGAAGCCAACCCGTCAGGAACCCTGAAAAAGGCGCTCCGTTCCCAAACCATATCAAAACCATATCAAAATCACATCCAAAACATTCCAAAACCATATCTAAACCATAACCCAAACCATATCAAAAAAACATAACAAAACCATATCGAAATCATAACCCCAAATTCACAGCGTATCAAATTCATATCTTCCAATCGTATCAAAAACCATATTAAAATCGTTAAAACATATTTCCTGAATTTGGCATCCTAGAGGGATTCCGGGGTTATAACCCTATTGTCTGTGGGGGCATCCCCATCGCATTGACCCCGATCCCCAACCCCAAATTTCAGTGGCGGACATGTCAACCCAATCTGAGCCTCCACCGATGACGTTGCGACAGGTACACCTGGGGCTCGGGTCTGGGTGGTATTTCACTCCATCTCAAAACATTGGAACACCATCTGGGTAGATATGGGTCTGCCAGGGGTTTTGAATATGGCCTTCTGTATGAGTTTGAAAAGGGCATTTTCATGTTTTTACGTATAACTTAACTTTCAAATTTCAACTAGGTTTGAAATGAATTTGAATGTGGTTGTCACACGTTCATCTGGTTTCACGCCGAGTACTATGGCACTTACCATGACTTTAGTTCTCCCCAGCTCCACATCATGTGTCGCTCGCCCGCCTGGTGGCGTGACAGGAGCCTCTTCCAGCTTCTTCAACAGCATGCCCGCGCCCATGGACAGAAGACCTGGGGAAGTCGCAATGAAGTGTGCCTTAAAGACATGGAAAATAGATGGCTATATAGGATTTATATAGGTTAGGTAAGTGTAAAAATGGAAAACATGAATGCTATCCTCATCTTTAGGAGTCTTTACTTCTGGAAGAAAATAGCTAGACAAACCCTGAACTTTACCCATGAAAAAATGTTGACTTTCCTCAACTTTTTGAGGTTTCCAATCTCTTGTGGATACCTAGGAGGATGTTCTTAGCTCCATACCCAGCTGCTTCTTCAGCAGCTCTAATTCAGATTCCTTGGAAATGAAGGCAGTCATAACCCCTTCGCAAAAATGGTGGTTTAATGAATGGGTTTTAATGGGAAACGAACCGTTTTTATGAAAGGCAGTGGGATATGGTGCAAGTAACCAAAAAACACATGACATATGCGGTCGGTCCGAAAATGGCTATCTTTAGGGGGAAAATGATGCTTGTCCGTCCGTCCATCAAGTGTAACTGAGGCGGCCATCATGCTGGCATCATAGCCATCAGCATCATTGACATCATGAGACTCAATCATCACCATCAATACATTCAGTCAGTTGCAATAAAGCCCAGCAACATCCAATAACTCTATAGAACTCAAATGAACTCAATGTTCTAAGACATCATGATAATCATCAATCAACATTTTGATGCATTAAATTGCATTAATGACACCATCACATCATCCGACTCCACTGTTCCATCTGAGCCGCCACTGTACTTGCCGCCGTTGGCGCCGCAGGCGCCACTGTTGGCAAGGCCGCTGAAGAAGCTTGCGTCCTGGCAAACATCACCAGGTCAGCATGTCAGTTCAGGTCAGCATGTATAGTGGGATATATTAATACATATCAATAGAATCAATACCCATCCCAAGGATATGATCTAAATATGAGGCACTTGGGATGGCCATCACAGGGTGCACATTTGTGATCACACCAGGATATACAGTACTTCCAATGATTCCAATGGTGCAGTATATGCCTAAGTATTGCTGGATGCAAGTGGAAAATACCATCATTTGTTGGCAAGTCAGACAATACACCTGATTTTTTGAGATGTACCTTTTTGTGTAGTCTCGGATGATCCTTGAGAAATGAGTAGCCGCCGGCCAAGACTTGATTATAGGAGCTTAACAACCATTAATCCCAAGTCAAACGTGATATTTGGGAGAGATATGTGGGTGAAACTCAGCTCAATCTCCATCCATCTCCGCCAAAAATGTTGCAGGCGGCACGTTTGTGAGGAGTCATCCTTTACCTGGTGGAGGTGACAGAGCATTGGACCGGTCTCAGAAGTGCTTGACCTTTCCAACACAATGAACCCACAAAGTGTCAACCATTGTCAACCACCAAGAGAACCAGCAACTGAAATTTTGAACCTTCCTGATTTATCCTGATTTTAGAGTGGATGTAGCACTATGACATCCGCTCTGGAAGCTTGGTATGTGGTGGATCCTCTGGTATCCATACTATGGCTTACTACGGATATTCATCTCCCCAATTCCGATGGTCCCCTGAACATTGACCCATACCCAAAGTTGTATCCTCGTTGGGGAGATCCCTAGTGTCCCCAGTTTTGTTGCTTAAACTCCCCAGTTTGTTTGTTAATTCCAAAACTTGCTCACCAAATTCCTGTTTTCATTACTTCAATCTCCAGTTTTGCTCGTTATAGCTAGTTATAACTAATGCAGAGTTTCTTTTGGCTAGAATCCTCAATT